ATTCTGTCTGGTGAAGTAAGTCAGATACAGTGAGAAAATAACTGTCTGTTTTGTACCATCAAAGAGATAAATTCTGATCCACACAACAAAATGATTGATAAAACTTTACCGCCAACGTAAAATAGATCAACTTAAATCATACGCATTGTACAGTAATTTTGTCGTTCATATTTTATTTCAAACATAATTTTACCATTCACATTACAAAAATTATCACTTAATTTCACTCGTGTAAAATATTTTTTCAAAAAACATATAATAAGATGATAATTCGTTTTATATTTTAACTTTTATATGTTATAAAATAGATAAAAGATATGAATAAATTTCTTATTTTGTACAAACATGAACTTCATAATCTGAAAATTCTGAACATAATAAAGAAATTTGTTGAGGATTAATAGGATTGGAAATTGAACCTGCTACTGGGAGTAGTTGAGACTTGGAGTAATATTTGAGTGGTGGTTAACATTTGATCCAAAGAAAGCCACATTTATTGGCCAAATGAAACGAAAGTCACATCGTAATTAATTATAAGCTTTAGGATTACAATTGGTAGTCATCATTGTTCTTTGATTTGGATCAACCCCATTAAAATCACAAAATTATTAACCCCCTATTGCTAGTCCTTTTTTCTATTATTATTATTATTATTGACTGCCATGCTCTTTATGTACTTCTTAAAAAAAAAAAACACATGTCAATGCTAGGGTCCCATCCAATCAAGTGACGATGTAAGAAAATTCTCATTAGCAAAAATATTAGAGAAAGATAACAATTAGTCTCATAAAAAAGAAGAAGAAAATAATAATAGCATTCACATTTGATTAAAGAGTTGTTAGGGAATCTCTTCTTAGAAAATATGAGATTCAAAGTCAATTTGAATTTTGATTCTTTCTTATTTAAAAAATCAGATTTTTTTTTTGTTTAGATATGTTAATGATTATCTTATTATTGAATACCTTGTTTAATAAAATTCGATCAAGTATGATTAAGATATATTGTAATTAAATTTGGATGGTAAAATTATTATCCATCACGGGTTTGAGTAAAAAAATTAAAACATTTTATTTAATAATTGATGTATGTATCTTTCTTTTAAGGTTTTGTCAAGTAATTATAATATTTTATTAAATCATTAAAATTATCATATCACTTATTAAATTGATTCATATGGCTCACCAGTATTTTTTTTTTCTCTATATCAATTGTTTACCTATTTTCTTCGGTTGGTACATAGATTTATTCATGAGTGATCCATAGAAGAGGGTTTGTTCCCATGTAAATAAAGAACAAAAAATAGAGGAAATGTCCATCTGCAATAATTTTGGACAGAGCAGATCCGGATACAAAGCCATTGCAGCAGAAGAAACAACCCTTCTGCACAATTTGTTTTTTAAGGCTAGAGATCAGTGGGAAAAAAAAAAAAAACAGAAGAGGTTTTGGATGTCTGTCATATACACTTCTATATTGGTTTAAATAATTAATAATTAATAAAAAAGACATCAGAAGGGAGCATGTTGCAATCAAAATCTTGATTTTTCTTTGAACACTGTCTATGACCATAGTATCTATAGTCTTTATTATCAGATCCAAATATTAAAATATGGATTTTGGTGGATCTAAACTACCCATTTGGTCAAATGCCAAATTGGTCATCACCATTGCTTAGACTCCTGCAATTAATGTGATTAACAATTTCATCAAGTCTATCCTCACAGTTTCAGAGAGAAACAGTAAATTTCACATCGAAAGTGTGTAAGAGTAAAACTAGATATTTAAATGTTCATATTATTTTTCACCTATAAACTATCTTTTGTAAATACGACTGTGAGGCTCAAATGATTTAAAACAAATAATAACTTACAAGTTATTAAAGATCAACAAAATATTATACAGCATTTTAGTTATCTCACAACTTGAGGCTAGGGTCATTTTTTGAATCTCAAGTGGATTAATTCAAAAAATAATTAAGAGAAATGTAGAATTTACATTCGATTTTTACCGCATGTCATTCTTTTAAAAGTTAAAAAGGGGTCATACTAGGAGTTGGATCATGATATATATATATGGAAGTGATACTGTAATGGCTGCAGCCAGTTTTGATCTGGATGTACATGGAAATTGAGAGAAAGATGCAAACTGCAAGGACAGTAAAATAAACCCTTTATGTTATTTCACTCTCTGACATTATCTGTTGAAGGCAGAAATTGTTCCTTGGATCTGTATTTTGTAAGGAGCACAGCATGTGCATGGAGAGTGCCCTGGCATATTTTATGTATAAACAAATTGCTTTGTAAATTGTACTTATCTGTGAAGATGTTGCATTTTCTCTCAAACTACAATTTTCTAAAGAATGGCGAGAATCCAAACTTTTCTCACAGTGGGAAAAGCTTGGGCATCTCTGGGCTGGAAGAAAGAAAAGAGTCATAGCAAGTTTGCAATCAAGCATATATACGTGGGGTGTCCTTTGTGTGTTTTTTATCAGTTAAAAACACCTGTTTGCTTACCCTTGAGTTGATGCAATATTTATCTAATTTTACAGTTAAAAAGGGCTTGGTTCCTTTACATAAAATTTGGTCTTGAAAGTTTATATATTCCCCTTTTCAAACCTTTTTTAGAGGATAATACTTTCAAGTTTCAACTATTAAACTTTGCCTTGAAACCCATGTTTGTGCTTATAAATTGTATATATGGTGCTACCTGTTGAATATTCGAATAAAAAAATGAAAAAAAAAACCAATTAAACTTCAAAACATCGTTAATTTATCTTATATTTAGTCTACTAAATAATTCCAATGTTGGAGATAATTATTTTTATGTATACTTAAAACTCAGTTAAATATGTTTCTACTTTTAAGATTAACGCAGCAATAAAATTATCAAGCTTACGCAAAAGAGCGGTTAGAATTGAATGAGGTGTGAACGTAACAACTAGCAACCTGGCGCATCTTTAACCACTTGAAAGGACGTACACAGAGTAACAAAATAGGTGGAGCCTAGGAATAGCGTTGAGTGAAAGAGAAAGATGAGAGGCTGTCGTGTTCAGCATTCGTGAACATGACAAACCACATCCCTTTCATTTCATGTATGAATACCATGGAAATAAGTAATTACACTCGGATTCTTCTGGTAAGGCGACCTGTCAACGTACACCAACATTTTTGTTTTCGTGACACTGAGATTACCTAGGCGAAGCTTTTTACTACTAGCTAGTTAGGGCGTGTTCAGTTATGATCACAACTTTTGATCGCGGTAAAAAACTCTATATGGGATACTTAGGCCAGCCTTAAAACAGGCATGCAAATCTTAAAGAGTTACCCATTATTTTATACTGAAGAAGCTTTTCAAAGCATTCAACACTGCGAATAATTGAAGGCGGCTGTCAATTCATACAGTACCCCATGAGACTGTATCATTTCATGCCTTAATTAAATCTGTGTAGACTTTTTTGTTCATCAATCACGTGGGGCGGGGGATGGGAGGTACACATCGCGGATGCTGAATATCATCTTTGCAATGCCATGCAACCTTGTAATATAAAAAACATAATTTAGGGACTCTAGCTAGCTAGTCGATGGATCCTAGATCATGATCAGCACAGATGATTGTACCAGAAAAGAAACTGTTTTAGTACTGTAGACAAATGTTGTGATGGTTGAAAAATATTTGATAAGATGGCCTTCTGTATTCTCTTTATCTTTTGCCCTTTTGTACCTGCCAGGCCAGGGACCAACGTGCTTGTGAGCCACAAGGGAATGAATGTTTTCATCTTCTTCTAAATAATTTACTTTGGCGATTGTTATGTCGCCAGACAGGGTTTCTGTGTGTTTGATTTGTGGGGAAGAGGTCTGAAGGTGAAGACAATTTGGGGAGCTTGGAATTTGGAGCCTCTTTTAGTCTCACTTATTACCCTCCCCTCCCTCCTCTTTGAGTGGGGGTATACATACTGTCAAACCCAATGTGCGGGGGTGCAGAATCTCTCTCTTGAGTCTTGATTTTCACCATTGGATAAATATTTCTTTCACACCCAGATCTTGCTTCACACTCAACCATAGTTTGGGTTCAGATGAGAAACGCTCATGGAGCGAAATAGTTTCCCCATCTCTTGGTCCAATGTGAACCAAGGCTCCATTTTTAGGTCCGGCTGATGAGAGCCCAAAAATTGGCCCAAGAATTTTTTATGTGTTTATTAAAATTACCAATAAGTACAAATTCGCAAAAAAATTATTTTTTTTAAAGAGAAGTTGTATCTTAAAAGAGAATAAATTATGTAAAAAAATTGGATTTTTTCCTCTCGTGCATGTGGAAAAAATTGAGTTATTTAAGAAAATATAAAGATAAATTCATCTCTATTTTATATTCGTAATTATAACTTTTGTGATGTTTTTAGGTAATTTACCGAGTCTATATTAATTGACTCCTGGTGCCAAAATCAGCATATGCCATTAACTATTGATATATATAATTATAAGAATTATGATTGAAAAAAAATGGACAAAAATTGGAGACATAATCTGTGCAATTAAGTTTTCTTGAAAAATTGCTTCTTAAATTTATATTTTTGTCCATACTATTTTTCTCTCTCTTGGGATAGCAAATTTTTATTTAATTTTATTTTAGAATATCATATATTTATAGATAAATTGATATATAACACATACAAATTATCTCAATAAATTGTCACGTCGTAAAAGACAAATAATAAGGACATTAAAACTTAGAAAGTTACAGCTTACAATCGTAATAAATTAATAGATTGACTTGCTCTATCGCAAGATTAGTGGACTCACCTTTCACAAATTCAATGATTATGTGGTATCATTTTCAAATAAGCATAATTGTTGTTTATACGTTTTCCCAATGTAATTATTTCACGTTCATAATCAAAACAACTTTTCGTAATATATCAAATAATATAATTTTTTTAAAAATTCAATACAAATTAAACCAAATAAAATCAACATTTCGTGATTGAATAATAAAATAAATGCCGAAAATGTAAAAATAAAAATGTATTAATGAGTAGGACGCCAATTGGCTAGATGGTTCATTTGACAATTGACAAACTAAGCCTTTGAAAGAAAAATAGGGAATCATTTTTTTCTTACTACAAATTATGAGAATTTTGTGGAAAGCCCTAAATGTGAAAGGGCCCTCCCAAAAAACCGTTTTCTTTTTCTTTTTATCATGTACACACTCCCCCCTAAACACGTGATTACAGATTATCTGTACACATGCCTATGCTAGAATTCTTCTTTCTACGTTGCATAAAATCCAACTTCCACCGCCCGATCACCATCCATCAATTCCAACGGCCTCCCCCACTCCCACCCTTCTATCTGCCAATTTCAATTTTTCTGTTTTTTAAATTTTATTGCCTACAAGCGCGCACAGGTACACTCATGGACTTTTAAGTCTCGTGTTACCGAACGATACGCCGAAGCTCAGTTCACTATTTTTAACTTTTCTCTCTCTCTCTCGTCTGTCTAAAACGGCTTCTGCAGGTACATGAACACATCCTGTAGCGGCGACAGCTGACTATTACTCTGGAAATGGGAAGCAAACCCGGTATCTACTGTGGCATCCATGTAATTATAGGAGAAAGCAAGGGCATTGTTGTTGGTACTTCCCCAATCCTTCCATTTGGGCTCGCTTTGAACCTCGCACGTGAACTCGGGAGACACCACGTGTTCCGAACAGCTCGAGTCCGTGTGAAGCCTAGGGACCGACTCCGACGTGTCGAAATACACAAAATCGTTAACGGTTCCCGTCGGAGCTGGTGGCAGTCCACACGGGTCCATGCCAACTGTCCCGATGTCCGGCTTCTTATCCTCAATAGCCATCACGCTAGCTTTTTTCGTAACGCTTCCTTGCGGTGGTTGTTTCTCGCTGGCGCCTTTCTTATTGTAAATCCGGCAGAGCACCCAATCGTCCAACTGCAAAAACAAAACGAATCGTTAATAGTTATTTGATTTTAGATTGTTAAATTGATGAACAAACGATCCTGCCATTCTTTGCCAAGATAAGAAGGAATATTTTCCTTAACAGGAAAGCAATAATTGCTTGACCTAAGCGTGACAAAAAGGTGTGTCACAATCAGGAGGTAAAACCAAAATCTGTTTTTAATGTCGTCTGGGAGTTATTGAATGCGCGTGAGGTGTACACCCATTCAATGCACCAAACTGTATACTGTCAAAAATCAAATGTTTTTCCTGGTGGGTCCCCATGATTCGGTGAAACTCTAGTGAATCTGAAACCACTATGCATCTCTCCACCGCAAGATTAAAATAATCTTTTTCGAATCATAATGTTAGTCCATGGAGGCAGATAGAACCGTCCTTTAGCTCGGTCACACCATTGACGAATCACGCCATCTTTGTGGCCGCCAAATATGACAGAGAAAAGACAGGCGCGGCATACACAGCTGGCAACTTTCCCCAGTATGGGAAGGTCAAAACGGTCATTTCCGCCTCCACGTTCCAGTCCTTAGTCTATCATGCAATTAAATCTCCGATTTACCCCTAACATATCCGAACCAGTGACGAGAAAAAGTTGTTATACCCTTAAACTGTTCTTCTTGCGAACCGACCGGTCCACGTCAGCTAATCGATACTCGTGCATAATCCAATTAGTTTTCTCTCCTTTGGGCGCTTTCCCAGCGTAAAACACCAAAGCCTTCTTAATCCCGACCGGTTTTGGTTGTCCGATTGGCTTATCAGCACCGGTTGCCTTCCAGTAGCCCGACCCAGCTGCCCGGTTCGGCCTTGAACCGTTCGGATATTTCCTATCCCTCGGAGAAAAGAAGTACCACTCTTTCTCTCCGTACAAGGCCAAATCTGTAAATCCAAAGTAAGACATAAAACAAATGAATACGCATTAAAAATGAAAAAGAAGTGAATCGTTGTTCCGGTTCGGGGAGATAAAAAGAACAAAAAAATGGAAAGTTTACCAGGAAGGTCCCATGGGTCGTATTTGTAAAGGTCGATTTCTGCGATGATAGGTACGGCGATCGACTGCGACGCACATTTCCGGCAAAGATAGTGCATAACGAGCTCCTCATCCGTTGGATGAAACCGGAAGCCAGGTGGTAACTGCAACTCTGTAGCTGTCATTTTTGACCTTTCACTTTGAGATATATTTTCACCCTCACCCTCACGCTTTCTTTTCTCTTTTCTCCCCTCTTATCTGTTGTGACGGCGCTTGAAACTTAGAACGCAAGGGAGAGCGATGAATTTATAGAAGGTAGAAGGGGGACACGTGGCGGGAGAGACGGTGGGTGCTTCTAGAATCCACGTGGTTGATAAGGTTTTCGTGGGCTTTTTTAGGGGTAGTGAATGGGTGATGAGAGCGTGGACGGGACACGTGGAGGACATGGAAGTGAAGTGCGTGCGTGTCGACAGCCCACATGCGGAGTGATTTTGTCACTGCTTACGCCATTTGTTTTGGACTGGGGTGCCCTCAATCTCATCACACACAAGAATCCCAAAACGGTCCTCGGGATTCGTGTGCGGTCGGCGTGGTTTTTTCTCCCCCTTCTTTATAAACTTCACAATTTTTATAATTTTCAAATACATTTTTTAATATTATATATTTCTGGTTTGGTTTTATTCAATTTTGAGCCGACAGTTTAACGGTGGATGAGGATTACACGTCAGCCCCCTAGTGCCGTCATCACCATCTGCTCGTGTGACTCGGCACCACACTGCGACTTTGCTCTATGTTCCTGTGTTCAAAGTCGAGCGTGATTAATGGGAACAAATAAATATTGAATTAAAAATACTAGTATAGTAGAGTAGATTAATTATTATGTAATATCATGTCCCGTCTCCACTTAGATTTTGTGCATGCAACATTTAATTAAAAAATTGAAATATTTAAAAAATAAAGGACAATTAACACTTTAACAATTTTTACATAATTCTAAAGAATAAGATAAATATAACTTTTTATTTGGTTAACTTTAATCAAATATTAAAAAAAAAAAAAACTTTAATCAAATATTTGACTCTTAATTAATATAGTCAAAGAAAAGAAACGATGTATATATACGTAGAATATGATGACTTGTGAGTTAAGACATGTCAACAACAATGGCATGAATCGTGTTTATCCTTAACACACGTGAAACTTTTCATTTGTATACAAATTTTCCTAATTGTTGACTATAATATTAACATGTAATGACAACTGAATAACTTAAGTTTACATTACACACTACCACATATATGTTATTCTTCTTATATTGAAAAAAGAAATGACAATAAACCGAAAAAAAGTAATTAATACATAATTTGGTATTCTGTTTGCATAAAGAAGTTCCCAGATGGTTGTAAATTAATACATATATATTAATATTTTTTGGTAAAATACTTTGAGTTTTTGGAAGTTTGAAAATTAGGAAAAAAAAAGCCAAAAAAAAATTGAGTGAATATGTAAGAATTGAGAAAGTATAGCAAAACAAATCATTCTCATTTATCTTGTCTTGGAGTTGAAAGAAAATAAATTAAATTAACTTTTTTGTGTGCCACTATCAAAGCTTACTGTATGGTTAAAGCATGTTTGTTAGAATTTCAATTATCAGGTTTTTATAAGTAATTGTTAAGGTTTGTTCAAATTCTATTTTAAGAATTTAATGCACTATCTTCTCCAAATGCAAGAACAGACAATCAATTTATTAATTAAAAAAATCTTTTTATAAATATCATCTTACCAAATTTCTATACATACTCTTTAACATTTGTCTTCTCCTATGCAATCTCGACTTATATTATATACAAATAAAAGGATATTTGAAGATGAAAAAAGAAACCAAGACCAGAATTTTAATTAATTAGATTATTCTACCGTTAAATTATCTTTATTTTAAAAAGTTTGGCTTATCTCCCAACTCTTTTAATATGTCCATTCCATTTAAAGAACTCCCGATAATAGAAACCATTTAGTCTACTTTCTTTTTACAAACTCTTCCATCTCAAAATGTAATTTGTTTTAATTTTATTTTACTCGTGTGTAACAATATTTAGCATTTAAGTTCTATGATGGTTATAAAGTTTATTTTTTCCATCTCAAAATGTTTTACTTTAGTGTAGTTTTAGTTTGATTAAGTTATTAAGTTTGTTGATTGTGATTTTTATGCTAAATGTAATAATTATATTATATATAAGAATTGATATTATTAATATTATCATAATTTTACTCATAAATGTGATTTTATTAAAAACTCAAAATTAATTTGTTTGATCATATCAAAGTAATAAATTATTTTCGTTTCTTAGCACATGAAATAAAAAACAAAAGTAAAAATTCTTTTTATGAATATATAATATTTGAAAATATAAAAAAAATAATTTTTTTAAAAAAATTAAAATTTAACTCTTTAAACTAAATTAGATCATTACACTGAGTATCTAATGCTGGTTAAAAAACAAGCGCAGATGCAGTGGGCACGTAGACAGGGGACTGACCTCCCCCAGAGAAAACGAAGACCGAAGCGGAGACCTAAATTTCAACTCTTTACGACATCATGTCAAACTTTGACGTGTCAATGGACGACCTGGATAAGGATAAAGGAAGTTGCTGGGCAAGCGCCGAACGGCCTTCACACTCTGCCACACCCTTTTTTTCTTTCTCCAGTAAAAGCAAATTACTAGCAATCGCGGAGTTAAATAGCTTTCCGACGCGTTCTATCACCTCAACTTTCGGTGGCGGTTAAGAGAAAACAAAATGTCTGTACACAGTCAAAGATGCTAAATCCTTGCGACGGACCAGTAGATGCTTGACACGCAATGGTTGTCAGCGCCGCTCGTCCTTGTCTCGGGACCCGGTGACTAACTTCCTGAGAGCTTGATGATCGGTCTCCACGTCAGCCATGACATAAAGGCAACTTGACTTTGGGGTTGGACGTGGCTAGAGAGAGAGATTTTTTATGAAATGTCGGGAACGCCCTTTGTGGTGTGATGTGGCATGATGGTATTGGTCAAAATTCAATAAAAAGGAAACCGTGGACGACCAAAACCAAGCGGTTTTCCAATATAAGCGTGAGAAATGATAATACCAGATTAGTCGCTGAATTTCTCGTCGGCGGTCCCCAGCAAAGTCAAGTTTCCTTAAATTGTTTTTCCTCTTTTTCTTTATTTTCTCTTTTAGTATTTCTTTTTCTTTATTTTCATTTTCTTTTTGCAAATAAAAAATTTATAAAATACAAATATTTTTAAAATGTAAATTTAATTATCTATAAATAATAGACAATTATTAATATTTCAATTGTATATAATCCAAATTTTCAAATATTAATCTACAAATTATTCAAGACTATTAGAGTTAAAAAACATATTTTTACAATGAAAACCACTCAAAGCACTGTAGTTCTTATTTAAATAAAATAAAATTTATTAATATTTTTAATGAAAGTCATTCAATGAAATTAAAATTATCATGTATTTACAAATTGGATGAATCTTATTAATATTAATAATAAAATATTTAAAATAACAATTTAAAAATATTATTAACAAATATGATTATCTTCATCATTTATTTTTTCAGAATTACTTTTATATGTATATATATGTATATTATATAAATATAGATTAGTATTCTTCTACTCACAACTTGAGTTTAATCTAAGAAGTAATAACTAATAATGCAATTGAAAGTTCTCGTGCACATCTTGTGGACTTTTTTTGTATGTACGTTTTCTATCATCTTTGAAATGAAGATTTTAAAGTGACTTAACTTTGATATAGGAATTCTAATTTTTTTTAGGAGTATTAAGATTCAATAGTTGAATTTTAATATTTTTCTTAGATCAACTTTTTTATTATAAAAGCAAGGAAATGGATATCTCTGTTTTTTTTCCTTAATGAACTATTAATTTCAAGTTATGTTTCTAAAAATTTAAGACTATATATTGTGGACATGAAGGACAAGGACAAGTAACTTGTTTTTTATGGCTAACTATGTTTTACGGTCAAGTCGGTGGCAATCCTATTGTCCCTGGCAGGCGGTACAATTCTCCAGCTATACAAAAGTCACGGTTTATCCCCTTCCACGAATTTGTCAGACGAACGTTCTCTTTAACTTTAGCTTCACATTCGAAACTTCAAATTTCTTTCTTTTTCTTCTAATAATTGAATGGAAGAAAAATTTATACTATCAAAAAGAGATTATAGTTCTTTCATTAATGTTAATCATAAATGTGTAATGATGTTCATAAGATTTAATAGAACCAGATAATTCCACAACCGCATTACTTATAAAAAATAAAATAAATATTTAAGACTTTATTAAGGCAAAAAGTAAACGACAAAGAAAACAAGGTTAGGTAGAGGTGCTACGTAAATAGGGTAGGGAGAGATGCTACATCAAAGTATTTAGTTATATCGCTTTCAAAATTTTGTAATTAGGAAGCAAACGAAAAAGTTGTTCAAGGCATGAGATGCTGCTAGCCAGTTGCATGGCCATGGGACCATGCTTAATACTTTTAATGTTGAGACAAGCACTTAATGAAGGCTATTATTTTCTTTCAAATTTTAATTGAAGGATTAATTGAACGTTACAAAGGCTCATTCTTGCCTTTTGTTTTGTCAATTTGTTTAGAGTTGAAGACATATACTTTATGAACTTTCTAAGAATTCTATAACTAGTAGGGCATAATCCTGCTTTATAAACTAGGTGATTAACAAGTTAATCAAAAAGAGTAATCAGTAATCAGGTCTGAAAGCAAAAGAATTTTGCTCAAAAACCATCTAATCCTAACTTTTGCTCAATAAGACAAGTGGGTTGGCTTGACTTTTATTTATTTATTTTATTATTTTGAAAGAAGATGAAAGCACTTTGTCATATCGTCTAGATGAAATGAACACGTTTTGTATTTCGTTTCTTTTCAAATATTTTGACCAGGAATTTCACTAAATTTCTAAGCCGCCAGTTTGTCTTGATATTGCTTTTATTTCCGCACACACGGTCAATATTGTCGTGAATGATTTCAACATTAGTCCAAATTCGGTCCCATAGCTTGCGAATATGCTAAAGTTAATTGAATGATTTCATTTTGACGGTGGGTTAGGAACTTTTAAATTTTTTAATTAAAAAAATTTAAATTCTACTATTTACATAAGAGATTATGTATCTATTAATAAACTAACTGTTGATGGTTAAAGAACATTCTATTATTTCAACCTTCCTTATTTTTTTTCTTAATTTTTTGATTAATTAATTGTTAAGTTTCCATCCTCATTATAACGTTTCAAGATGATGTGATGGCCTAACCTGAAGTTTGAAATTCAATTTCAACTTAATGCACTACCATAAATTTAGATTTTAATTACACTTAATTGACGTAACATATAATTTTATGCATGAAATATTATAAAGTGTTGCTATTTAAATTAAGTTCAATTGACTAATTTCTTGAGTTTCACAGACCACGGTCAAACTTTCTCCAAGGACAGAGCTAGAGTTAAAAGTGAAGGAGGGTTAATATACATTAGTTAATATATTTTCTAGCAAGAATTAAGTTAGGAAGAATAAATGAATAATAATTTTTTATTATTTAATTATATATATATATATATTTTATAATAAGTATATTAAATTAAAGTTTATTTACGTACAGATTCTTGTATTATTGCATTTAATTAATGCTACTCACTTAGTACGCATTATAAAAATAATTATATAAAAAATATAATTTTATGAAATCGGATATTCAATTTAACCATCAATTATACATGTTTTTTTTTCTCAAAATAAAGAAATTTAGATTTTTTATTTTCTCATTTTCTTTTCTTTAAAATTTTAATTGATAGTACTTTATGTCAAAAAATATTAAAAAATGTCATGTAAAAATAGTGTTTAAAATGTATATTGGAAAATTCAAACTAATTCTATATAAAAGAGTATTGCTAAAAGTAAAAAAAAAATGAAAAATGTATATGGAATATATAGAAAAGTACTTTAGAATTTGTGCTATTTATAATAACTCAAGGACTAAATAAAATTTAATTGCGAAATAAAAATAATTGATACTTATTAAGGAGTCAAGTAAGTAATAAGAAATTTTAATTGGTCAAATGATAAATTCGAAATTACTAGAGGGGCAAATTAGAAAAATTATAACAGAACGAGAGAAATTGTTGTGTGTAAAAACGCAATTTTGACAAAACGAAGGGTGGCGGCCAACCGTCGGATCCCGTCGCTGTTTGTCCGCCTGCATTGATAGTCTCTGGCAGTCGCAGCCATTAATTTTGGAATTTTCTCGAGTGGCCACCAGGTACACAGTCGCATGGCTTAATTTCTGTAAATAGATATATTCATTATCAGTATGGAAAAACGTTGCACCATTTTCAGTAATTAGGAGTCCTCATTCTCAGAAGTGATTAGTGGGAATGACAGTAGACGGTCCTTTGATGGCCGCCAGTACAAACATATGTGTCGGCATATAGTACTGAAGTTTTCACGCCTGCCGAAGTTCAATGCATCTTCACTCCCTGCCAAAAAGCCATCACAAACTTGTTCCCACCATCATTTTCTGGCCGTCCGCTTCTAATTTTTGCATTCTTCCTTTTTACTTTTACCAAAAAAAATAAAAAAAGTAAAGATACTATTAATATCTAAAAAATAATAATATTTATTTTACAACTATATAATTTTGTCGTTTTGTAGCAAAGTCTTTGCCCTACGTGCACGATGGATGTAGGTATATAAGAATAGGATTAGCTTAAAAATATATTATGTATAAATAAAGGTGTAGATTGTCATATGTTTTACATTAATAAAACATAAAATATATTTTAAATATATTTTATAAATTAAAAATATAATTTTTTATAATTTAAAATAGTACGAAATTAAATTTAAATTTTAATTCATGACACAGATAACTTTGAATCTTATAATGATGTTTCAACCCGTGATGCAGACAACTTTGGATCTTATGGGGGCGCAGAAAAATTGACTGTTGTTCAAAACGTTTGGACATGGATTTGTCAGACATTTTGTTTTCTTGTGTTTGGTCAGATTTATTTTATTTTGCTTGGGATTGAAGCTAAGTTAAAAGAAGCACACGACAGACCTAATTATTGTACTTCCTTCCTTTAGACGCAGGAAAGGTTGAATGGACATATAAAATCTCCATTGTTTCTCTTAGGTTTCCATGATTTCGCACGCGTGTCCGTTCATGGCAGAGATAACAGAGTGCGGCGGCGCAATTTTTTATTTCTTAAGCTGCAGGACAAAAGGATCATTTTGGGGATTAAAATTTATAATTTAAAAAGTTTAGTATTAATCTTAAATTGAACTGAATGAGATAAGATTTAAGAAATAGATATATAAAAAAACCAATGATATCATTTATGTAAGTAGATAAATGATACAGCACAAGTCTGACCTTTATCTCTATCGGGCCATTTTCCAACTACCATACAAATTCATATAGTTTAATATTTTTGATATAAATATATATAGTTTGATCTGCTAATCACATAAAATGTGGATTTCCATAAGTCAATAGGTTAGTTGCACAAGATTTAATAATGGCCGTATAAAACTAAATTTGCTTTATATTTTCATCAAAAAATTAATACAAAAATACCAAAAATAGTACTATTTTCATTTTATTTTATTAGCACACAACAAATGTACATTAAATTCTCATCTCTAGATTTATTGTTAAAGAATTTCTTATTAGCAAGAATAATTTTTAATAAAAATTTCATGTTTTTCACTAAAGAAACAATAATTTTCCGACAATATTAATTTTGTTGCATATTTGTCACAAAAAAAGACGTGTTTATTTCCAATGAAATTTTTTTATTAGAAAATTATGAGAAAACATTATTTTTTACAAAATTTGGTAAAAAAGGTTTGTGGTTTTAAAAATGATAATTGAATTTTTGACTAAATTTCTAAAGGAAATAATGTTTTATATACTAGTGTTTGATAAGTTTCCATATATATATATATATATATATATATATTATGTCTTGAAAAGCTTTTTGGGTATGTATATAATCTCCCTTCCTCATATATATATATATATAACATTTTTTTTTAATAAGGCATTTGGCATTACTTAAATAAATACTAATGTTAAAGTTATGCAAAAGGGTTATAAAGTAAGGAGAAAAGAATCGTTAATCATAGAAATTGGTGTTTGAGCTGTGTTACAACTTCCAACTTGTACAAATTCTATGTATACATGTTGTCCATTTTATTTTCAATCAAATAAAATTGTACAATTAAACTTGGGATCATAAGAAGTAACAGTGCCCAAACAGATGAATGAAAACATCTAAACATTCCTAGCATTCTTGGATGAAGAAATCTCAGTGTTACATATGGGGCAAATCCTCTTGATTTGGAGCCACTTGCTTATGCACTCTGAATGATATGGGTGTTCACAATTAGGAAGAGCAACTACACCTTCCTCTTCTTCATACTCCACTTGACAAATCGCACACCGATCAATCCCACTGTTGCACTTAACAGATTGGAACTTCCATGGAATCAAGCATGAAGAAATCTCATTCTGAGATAACCCTCTTCTCTCTACCCCTATAATCTCTCCTAGAGCAATCAACTCTTCGTAAGATAAATCGTCCGGATCAATCTCATCCTCCTCCTCCATGTCTTCATCATCATTGCTATCTTGTCCCTCAAGGAACTCTAGGTCACCTCCAGCTTCCAGGCCTTCGAAACATTCGTAATCGTTGTTGTTGCTGCTTCCGTAGGATGCCTCGCTGTCATCTTCTTCGCTATCACTTTCAATGGTTTCGAGCATTGAAAACGCCCTCTCCTGTTCTTGCAATGCCATTGCCATGGCAAAATCAGAGTCAACTTGATCAAGTTGGGTGAAAGGCACCCTCTTGGATGATTGTTTTGCGCCTTCGTTCTCCATAGATCTTATTCAAGTAAGGGGAACAGGAGATCCCAATCCGCAGGCATATATGGGATAATGCCAAAGGCTTTCTTTAGACAAAGGCAACTTTCATGCGAAGCAATGGAAGTCCAATTACGTTGTATATGACAATATTCTTTAATTCTTCCCACTTGGAATGTTTTCCAAACACCGATTGGTACCACCCCTTGCCTCAAATATAGCCGAAAATTTAGCTTCCTTCCCAGAGAGGGCAGCTTTATTTAATGCAAAGCAATAGTATAACATACCTAGTAAGTCACCGTATATATAAAATTAAGTTATACCAACTCTTTGCCTTATCTTTGGGGCAATTCTCCACCTACTTCAAGATCAAGTATACCTGTGTGTACAATTAATTATACACATGCAAATGTATGGATGCAAGCGTATACACGTATTTTCTTGTAGGAGCAACAAAGAGAATCCCCATGTATAGTTGTTGAAATGGGATTATCTGGAGACAATTGACAAATCTAAAGCCAAGCCATGCATACCAAAAACTTTGAGTTGTGAAAGTGCAGGGAGAAAAGTAAATTTCGGACAAGTCCCTTGATTGGTAAAGGCAATGATGCTAGAGAACTTGATTCTTGCTAGGAAAGAGCAATATCATTCATGATAAGGACTCTCTGAAGATAATGCATTCCAGTGAAGTGCTATGAGAACTATCCTATCAATGCACTAGCAGAGGTTGAAAAGGAATAAATAAACTATATTCTGCAGTCAGTCAAGCATTGTGTCGGTTTGAATGCCAGAAAGGAACTATAAGGTTATGATACAAATGAAGAAGAGGATGGTTCTGCCAAATTCCACCGCAGGGAGAGGATGAGAAAATGATCATATGTTACCATTCTGACCACTTCCAGGAGAAAGCCAAAAGTTTCCATGAGATTGAAAAGATAAATGCGTACTGTTAGTATTCAGAATTATCTCCTTCTATGATGAACCCTTCCCCTACGAGTTGAACCTTTCTGTGCAAATTTTGATGTATGTGTCACCCTAACGCCATGAACTGTGTTTATATGATGGCCATGCTTACCATGGTTCCTTTCATAAAGAGCATCTCTTTTTATCCCCACTTTTATTCGATGGCTTCTAGGCCTCAAAGACTTTCGTAAGTGAACTCCTCTGTAGTCTCTCCATCGGCCAGATAGGGATGTACTGCTTGCTTCCGTAGGTCTAGAAGTGCGATATGAAAAGCTTTCATCATCATGTTCATCACTAGTATCAAACTGATATTCTCTTACTCTTCTACGCCCTCGATTTATCCTCTTAATCTTTAGAAGCTTAAAGCACAAGAAAGTGCAACAGATTTCCCAAAAAGAGAACCAGCATGCAATGCTTGCCCATACCATTCTGCACAGACTATGACCAATGCACTGGCAGATGCCCACTTTATACAGCAGATAAAAGAATAGGAGAACTGCACATCGTTAAAGGAACAAGTGAATAAAATTGTGAACAATTAAATTCTAGAGCCGTTTCTGCTTTAATCAAGATGGAAATATCAGATTGGGCCTAAATCCTATCCATAGTTACCAATGTAGGACAGAACTAACACCATGATCAACTTCAGCAGATTCGCAACGCAAAAATTCTCTATGTAACAGATGAAATCCCATGTTGATCCACAAACTGAACTGAACGATCATCCAAACAGAAAGTAAGAAAAAGCAGATTCAGTTTGAGAAATACCGAGGGGAAAATTTAGATGGTGAGATATGAAGCACACCAACTTCCTGGAATTAGTAAAAGACAAAGCTCTATGTAAATTTAATGATACCAAGATTAATGTAGTTCATCTTAATAACGTTGTGTATCACATACAAGCAGACGCCCGCCAAAAAGATTGTGGCAGATAATAAGAATTGGATTTGTAGATAAGATATAAGCGGGTACCTGCAGGACTTTCCAGCAAGAAAATCAAGCGGATTGCCAAAAAGTTTGGCAATGGCGTCTGTGAAGCCTGAGAAAAATGAACTGATTACATTGCCCATCAATTCTGTTCACTGGTTTATCGGCCAAGGGCAAACAGCTGACAGTGACTTTGAAAAGCCAAGGACAATATTTTCTGGCTCTATTTAACTCCTGCATTGGTGCACCAGTAAGATGAGAATAACATAATTGTGATCAACAGTCAAAATTCCACAAGTATTGTAATGAAAAGCCAAATTCCATTGACATTTGTTTTGTCGTGGGAAAGAGTGATTCGAGGTTGAAACTTGAAATATACAGAAGAATCCCTGTTTTGTTTCTGTAATCGAACATTTTAACATGAAACATAACGTTGTTGTTTGGTTAGAACTTGTAAAGTATAACCACCCCAATCCTTTTGACTAACATTGCTTTTTGAATGCTATGGCTACTGGAAAATCATTTCGTGTAATTTTCAGTAGGAAAATTTATCCCAAATTTGAAGAAGCAAGAAACAAGTCATCCCAATTTCTGGAAAATGCTTCTTTGGACGAGCGAGAGAGTGAGAGACAGAGAGTTTTACTGTTTGAGTGGCATGACAACAACCCAAGGTTTCACTCGTTAGGCAGAGAAGAGAAATTGAAGGATGCTGCGTTTTCTTTTGTCTGAATCAGAGGATGAGCGGAGAGAGGACAAAATCCAATTACCTACATCATTTCGTAACGGGCGGAGTAACTGCCCCCCCAAACCGAAAGTGTCATTTCCCCTTTCTTTTGGGCCCAAGGTTCCCTAAAGCTGCAAAATCCAATTTACCATTCACATAGTTTTTATTCAACTAGAACCAGTTACTGACAGAGGAATCTGTTTTACTCTTCACACTTAGATCACCATTCACGTATTCTTTTGTAGTGTCGCATTCCATGAGTGTACCATTAATTTGAGTAAAGCCTAACGAGAAACCCCAAATTTATCATTAAAAAAGATGAACAAATTGTTCATCTATCAAAGATTTTGGAAGAGGACCTAACCCAATTCATCCAACATATCGTGTCGTATGCATATTTAACTAGGAAACATCAATAGGAAGACAAATCTTAACTCATCAATGTACACCACTTCCACCACAACATTCACCATGCTGCAATAATATAAAACTTAGTCAATCGATTTCAGAATTATCAGAGTACATCAGATTCGAGCATTCACGATCAACAGCCTTTGATAAACAAATAAAACTGAAAGTTCCATAGTTGACAATTAAAGGCTGACGGCTAAGGGGAAGATAGAGACAATTGGCTGCACTCAATCCATCCTTCCCTTCAAAATTCTTTCTTTTACTTCTGTAGGTGTGCTGCAAAATGTATAAACACCAAATACATTAAAAATGCACCAATTAGCTATTACTGCAAATGTTAAGTTTTAGCTGTCCAGACATTATCAGTCAGAAAACAACTAAATACTCCTTTTTCTCCATCAGGGAAGGGAAGAGTTTGGATGGTTCGAATAATAACCAGATTCTCTTGGGTAAGGTTTTGATAAATATGACCTAAGGAAAAGAATGCTACTAAGAATATAAAACAAAAAAAAAAAAAACATTTGAAATTGCTTACACAACATAGACATGTCCTCCCCAACCGCTCAGACAGTCACGATCCACTGATGAAAGGAGTGCTTGGGAAACAGTTTCAAACAATTCATCAGGTTCCTGAATACAAAGAAAACAATGACTCAATAAAGCATGAATTCTATTACCGGCATGAATGATTTGTAGCTAACAACCACAATACTTTTAACTATGACACAGTAAAGTGTAGTCATGTCTACCCCAAAAAATGGCCACCATGTCTTAGCTTGTAGGTTACAAACATATAAGCAATGAAATTTTACACTTCTTGAAAGGATTCATCACTATTATGCATGTGCTACTCTGAGCATAGGAAAATAAAAAATTTGACAAACCATGTCCTCCTTGAACATTGACTCGCAGGCACCATAAAGAGACTCTGAGGCAGTACCAGCTACAACAAAATCTTTTGCAAGCTCCCTGCATTTCAAAGAAAGCAAACATAAAAACCAAAATAGTTTCAGCATTTGCATCAAAATATTAAAAAATAATTCAAACCATAAGAATTAAAATAGTATTGTCAACCAGAAATCGAACTCAACAAAATGCAAAATACTGGATATATACTACATTAGAGTTTACCACATAATAAAGTTTGTATGAACAAAGTAACAGGCATGTATGAGACATATCTCTTGCAAAGAGAGAGAAAGACAGAGAGAACAAAGAATGACAGATGGCAAACTATGATATTATCCAGAAATCCTTACCCTTGAAATATCACGCCTGAGATCATCTTTTTAAAATTTTCAATGGCATAAAAAAAATTGAAAATATTTGTATAATTGCGACCCAAAATCCCAAACCTAAGTGACTGGTACAGTATATAACTTGGCTATTTCTTCAGCTACTTATTGCTATTTTAGACAGGGTAGCTGCAACTCCAACTGGGATGTTCCAAAAGAAAAAATAGGGTAACAGCTATCTATGGGCATATGTTGACCTTTGAAAATCAAACTCGATAGCTATTCCATTTTAAAGAGCCACTGACCACCAAACATTTTGAATTTTTCATTTTAATGCAATCAATATATACATTTTCTATTTCCTTGAAAACCAAAGAAAACATGCACAACCATTGAAACATATATATTTCTTAAAAAATTAACATCAACAAACAAAATTTCAAATAAACATCTTTCATAGAAAGGAAATTTATTATACGGAGATGGGGGTTTGGAGAGGGGTTCTTCCAGTTTGTTATGTGTGGAACAGTCGAAAGCGAAGAATTCAAAGAGTGCCTAGAAGCATTGCTGTTGCTTTTTTCTAAAATCATGCAACTATTGACTGAGATCCAAAGCCCCTAGTTTGTCAAGAGTTTACAATCATGCTTATACAGGGTTGTTTATGTTGGAGATGGAACCATAGTGGGATTCTTTATTAAACAGCACCAACATTTCAGGTTTTAGAATAAGATTGGGATTCTTTTGCTAAACAGAGCTAAAATTCCTGGTTTTCTCTCTTTGATATTTCAGCTGTCTAGACAATCAGTTATCATAGAGTAAAAGCTCAGCTTTTTAAGATACGAAAAAGAGCTTTTGTTTTTTTTTTCCCTTTTCTATAAAGGAGATTTGACCAGTATATTTACCAAGGGAAAGTTACATGCATTTGTTTTATAGAACAACCCTCATTGTTAGGTAAATACTACAATATAAGTAAAAATAAATAAAAATATACCTAGCATCTAAGACAAATTCATGCTTTTTGCATCCAAAATACAAGAGAGAATAAAATCTACTTACTTGGCTCCAATGGAATCCATGGTGCAAATGAAGGGCTTGTCTTCATCTCCCAATCCAGCAATTACGGGTTGGCAGAAGTATGGACCAAACCTATGAAAAAAAGATAAATAAATGTCATAAAACTTGCATCTGTTACACATAAAAATTGCACCCTTTTCAAGTCAAATTCCCATTTGAAAGCAAATAATGCCTATGAGTTCCTCTCAAGCTTGACATATCATCCAAGAAGGGCTTCAATTTTAGTAGGAAAAGAAGAGTCCTAAATGTTGGGTTTTGAGGCTAAACACGAAAAGGGCAGGCAAGAATCTCTTGGATGCTCAGTTTTTATCATAAGACAAGTGGATTGTTTCCCTTCAAGGCGCAGAATAAGATGAAGTGACTCTTAGCCAAGAAAGAACATAAGTAAGGCTTTTTCCTTGCGATGCATATCACAAATTCTTCCTCCCCCCAACTTCATGTTTTAAAAAAGAAATACATCTACTTTTATCCACAGCACCTCTTATTCATAATATAAGTACTATATAGCAACTAAGCTCATTTTACCAGTTCTCCATTACTCCTACTATCATTTAAAAAATAGTTTATGTCCTAGTGTTTTTTTTTTATCAAACTAATGCAGAACGAATCAAAGAGTTGGTATTTGGCAATACGAAACAAAATTAAAGCTTTCCATTTCCTCCCTTAATCTAAGAGCTAAGCTAAAATGTTAAAAGAATCTAATCTCAGTAATTAATTGAACTAATCAAAAGTTTTAAGTGGGGAGCTCTTTATACGAACCTTTTCTCGTAAAGAAGAGCAGAAACAAGGTTAGCAAAAGTCTCAGGTTTCATGTCCCTCTCTTCTCTTAGCTGATACAACTTGTGCCTAAACACAAGCCTTTGATACCTTGAAAAATTAAAAAAAAATACAAAATATTACCACAAAACATATAATAATTTTTAAACAACAGAAAGCAGAAAGGGGAAAAGTTAAGGGAAAAAAAAGGGAGTACAAGGTTTGCGCATCGGTGGCGAGGCCAGAGAGACCGAGAAAGAGGCGATCGTGGATTTTAGAAATCCTCTGGAAGTCGGTGGCGATTGTTTGGAGTTGAACGCCGAGTCTCCGATCGCTGGCGATGGCGAAGCAGTTCTTGCCTACCATCGCTACTAGGGCACTCCCATTGTACTCGAAGATCTGCATCATCCACCAAAAACTAACTTTTAATTAAGCTTCGGAGAAATAGGGTTTCAACAAAGAAATTAAAAAAAAAAAAACAAATTTCGATTAAGAAATGAGACTTACCGACATTGAAGAATTTAGGGTTTATGCTATTAGATTTGATTCCGCGAGAAAACTGATTTTAGCAAAGAGAGAGAGAGTTTAAATGGAGAAGACTGTACGATGGCTTGGAGGTCACTCCAGTTTCCAATGATTCCAACCTTTGCTCTTCATTTTTCCAAAAAAAAAAAAAGAAAAAATATAAAAGGGGGTTTTACTTTGGGAGAAAGTGTTGGGCTGAGTTTAATTTCTCTTCGAGCCTAACCCAATACCAATATTGGGCTTCCTTTGGTTCTCTCTACAAAGGCCCTTTCCGGACCAAGCCTACTGGATGGCCTTTGTCAAAGTCAAGTTCATCTCAGCCCATCAATTCAATTATAATATTTAATTATTTTAAAAGTAAAATATAATAAAAATATAATATAATATTTATTAATGAAATAAGTTAATCGATGTAAATTAAACCGAACCAAATTCAGGTCCAACAGACACCCACAGCTCAATCATATTTTCATTTCTGTTGAATGTTTAGTAGTGTGTTAAATTTTAAAGTAAAATATCTTACTTTTAAATTTTAATCAAAATTTCAAGTGAACTTATTTTTTTTGAAGTGGATACTTTACTTCAAAAAAATATCTTTTGCTGGAAATATAAATTCAACTGTTAGTCAACTATTAATGTTCCCATTAGTTTAATAAGTAGTAATTTTGAAATGATAATTTTACTATTTGTTAATTTTAAAAATTATTATTATATAAGTTTTATTATTATTATTTTAAAATAAGGAAGCAACGTTTTATTGGAGAGTTGTTTTTTTTCAAATAATAATAATAATAATTTTTTAAATTAATAAAAAAAGATATTTTATTTTTTGAATATTCTCTATTAACGGAGTTTATATTTTTGGATGAAGTGTTTATTTTGAAAATTAATAGACTCATTTAAAATTTAAATAAAAATTTAAAACGTGAGGGTATTTTATCTTAAATTTTAATACTTCTCACTTTTCTTTCAATTTATTACTAAGCAAAGCAAAAGCTTGGGTTCAATTGGGATGTAGTTTTAATTATTTGGACTCTATTTGATATTCGAAAAGTAGGTGTTTAAAAAGAAGATATTTTTTTTTAAAAATAATATTTTTTATTATTTGAACGAAATATTAAAGAATTTTTATTATTTAAAAATTGAAATTGATAAATTGATAATATTTGGGTAGATTAAGAGAAGTCCTTGGTATAAAACCCTTGTCCAATGAACTTAAACAATTTTTCTTTCCTTTATCTTTTTTGTTTTTTCCTTTATTTCCACCAAACCTAGTGTAAGTGAATTGTTGAAGACACAGCCCTGCTTTGCAAATATCCTAAGAGTGAGCAAACCAAAATTCTGAAAATTCAGTGGACAATGACTAAGCGTAGCAACTCCTTAGTGCAATATTGCTCAAGTCTCGCACGTTATTTTTATAAAATAAAAATCATTTCCACTTTTTTAGTGGGTAAACCACGTTAATAACATGTTTTTGTAATTATAAAATTCTGTAATTTTTAATAAATGAGGATATTTTTAAATAAATAAAATACTTTTTAAAAATAGATATGTTTTTCTTTTGAAAAAAAAAACAGAAAGAACCTTTTACGGTTTTCTTTGATATCTATTAATTTTATTTTTTAAAATAATTGTTATTTTAAAGAGTTTTTTAAAATTCTTTTTGATTCTCACTTCTTCAGATAAGATGACAAACACTAAGTCAAAAATCCATTTAAAGTAGTTAAAAACCATTACATTAATAACAAATTGGTTTGGTTCCCTACTTAAAAGATAAAAGAATTATGGTCATATATTATTCAGAAATCTGGTCAATTTGGTTAACCGAATTGGAGCCATGATGATGGGTTTGATTAACCCATGTGTAAAAAAGAAAGAAAGAAAGAAAGCAGCTTGAAATCTTGGTGAACTTCCCATGCAATCAGCTCAAGACTTTAAGCACGCTTCAACATACAAATAAGGAAAAAGAAAACATTAATGCAAAATACCCTTTAATATGGCAATTGCGACCGCAATGAGATTCTGCTTTGTCATTGTAGCCTTGAGACGTGAATGAGATAGTTGGCTTTCCTTTTCTGTTCCCATAAGTTCCTCAAGAGCCAGTTTGAATATTGTCAGAGATTTTACTTGGTGGAAGGGCTTTTCTCAGGTTAAACAAACCCTTCGTAGCATCAGAAAAACACTGGAAAGGAGTGCTTAACAGAGTAGGACAAAAAGGGTTCCGAGTTATGGGGCGGTGGTTCTTGTTTCTTCTTGGATTGCTTTTGACTGTATCTGGTGGTAGAGGTAGCGGTGGCAATGTAACGTACGACGGAAGATCTTTGATCATCGACGGCCAACACAAGATTCTGTTTTCCGGCTCAATTCACTACCCTCGTAGCACTCCTCAGGTATTAATCTTGTTTACTTCTTACGTTAACTCTCGGCAAATATCTTTTAATCTTTTTCTTGCAAAGTTATTGCCGTTAGGTTCGTTTGAAAGGAAGGGAGGCTGTGTTTTCAATCCTGGAAAAACCTTGTTTGGTGAATTAGTCAAATCACTAGAAGGAAAAGAAAACAGGGCAATGAGTTCTTGCCAAACCATATTGTTTTGAGATGGTTGATCTTTTCAACAAATCCATCAATGACTTGCTTAGACTGAGTTTGTCAATTTCTCTAAACAAAACTTGCCACTTGTTCTCCACTATAATCGCGTCAAATACTTTTGGTACTATCACTATGGTATTTCCCATTTGACCTCTTTTTTTATCATTAAATTGATTGAAGAAGAACGTGTGACAATGGTGGCATCCCCTGTTTTCTTTTAATATTATTTTAGAGTCTGTGTTGTTTTCCTCTGTTTTTCAATTTTCGACAAACCAAAGAAACTTTTTCATGATTATCTCCTTTTGGGTACATTGATTTATTTTCTTTTGCATGATGTGTGAGAGAGGTCGATTATCATTCTGATGATCAAGCTCCTGGCCCTTTAGTTCAAACATATAATGGAGTTATTCAAGTGGGACTTAATTCGATTAAATTATCATCGATTTATTAAAAAAAATTGAAAATTGAATAAAATTTGGTACTATGTAAATAAATAACATGCACTCAATTTTTTTAATATATGACACTATTAAAAAACTTAAAAAATATAAATAAATTTAATAATCAATAAAAGAAAATATCAAAATACTCGAATTTATCTCCAATTATTACTTGAGTCATATGTAATGATTTGAATAGAGTAATTAACAAGTAACTTCAATTGTTGTACGTGCCCGTACATGCCTTTCATCTTTTTAACTAGTACTGACGTTCAAACAAAATCTTTTACCGAAATTTCAGATTTTAGGACTGCACAAATTTTTTTAATGATAATAGTAACATGTAATGGAAATTTGCAGATGTGGCCATCTCTGATAGCCAAGGCCAAAGCTGGAGGACTAGATGTCATTGAAACCCTGGTATTTTGGAACCTACATGAGCCCCAACCAGGACAGGTTACCATTGATGATTATAATGTTCTTTTCCATTAATGTTGAACAAAAGATGAAGGGAAAAATGTAGATGCTAAAGCTGCTTTGCTCATCGTTCTGCAGTTTGATTTTAGTGGAAGACGCGATATAGTAAGGTTCATTAAGGAAATTCGAGCACAAGGTCTATACGCATGCATTAGGATCGGACCCTTCATTCAGGGCGAATGGTCTTACGGGTAATCAGATTACTCGCTGCAATACTTAAATCTGAGTCCTAGTTAGTTTTCCAAGGCATAACAATAGTGTTTTGTAGGGGTCTGCCATTTTGGTTGCATGACATTCCAGGGATAGTTTATAGATCAGATAATGAACCCTTTAAGGTTAGTATACTTCAGTTTCTCACTGGCTATGGAAAATTTCAGTTCAGGGGTCTGAAGGCAATGTTACCACTAATACTACTCCTATGTTTGGTGTAATGGCAGTATCAAATGCAGAAGTTTGTGTCAAAGATAGTGAGCATGATGAAAGCGGAAAATTTGTACGCTTCACAGGGAGGGCCAATTATTCTGTCACAGGTTTAAAGACCAGAAACATAAGCTTGCATCTTCTTTTCAACTAATATTATCCTTCGTGATTCTAAAAGTTGCTTTAATATAGATTGAAAATGAGTATGGAATGGTACAAGCAGCATTTAGAGAGAAAGGGCCTGCTTATCTTCGTTGGGCTGCAGAAATGGCTGTGGGGCTTCAAACTGGCGTACCATGGGTGATGTGCAAGCAAGATGATGCTCCTGACCCTGTGGTTAGTCTCCAATTACTTTGAACAGATTCTACACCTAATTGGACATTCAAGTTTCAAACTTAATTAGCGGATTCTATGCTTAAAAACAAATTTTGAAATCAATAGAAGTTACTTTCAGATTCTTCTCAAAAGTATATCCCCGGTACTTTTGCCATGATTCCATAGCAATCACTGGTCAAGAACTTTGAGAAAATAATTTGAACTCTATCTTTCAGTTGAATTTCCTTGATGAAATCCTTTCTTATTCTTTTCCCTTATGGTTTTCATTTTTGTTGAAAACCGGGCAAATTGATAGATTAATGCATGCAATGGGAGGCGGTGTGGAGAAACATTTGCTGGACCTAACTCACCAAATAAGCCTGCAATATGGACAGAGAACTGGACAAGCTTGTATGTTTTTGTCCTGATTTTTCATTTTGCATTTCTGTTTACTATTTTGCACCCACTTACTAATGAGCTTGGAAATTTTTTTGAAGTTACCAAGTATATGGAGATGAAGCAGAAATCAGATCAGCTGAAGACATAGCATTCCATGTTGTACTCTTCATTGCAAAGAAAGGCAGCTATGTGAATTATTATATGGTATGACAATCCTCTATCAATCTTAAAAATTGTTATAGATTGTGTTTCAAATTTCATAAGCACATTACTGATATTAATAGCTTATTTTACCTGGTTAAACTTGTAATGAACATATGATTTGAGGTAATAGTCATATGGAAATGAAATATAAATCCAACTAATTGCATAGCTTCAATAACTTGTAGTACCATGGAGGAACAAATTTTGGAAGAAATGCAGCTGCATATATGCTGACAGGTTATTATGATCAAGCTCCTCTTGATGAGTATGGTAAGTATAAATCGCATTTTATCTTATTCATATCAAAGAGTGATTTTTTTTAACTTGTCGAGTTGTCTTTCAGGTTTGTTTAGGCAGCCTAAATGGGGTCACCTTAAAGAGTTACATGCTGCAATCAAGTTATGCTCAAAACCTCTTGTCTCTGGAGTATATACCACCATGGCTTTAGGCCGATCACAACAAGTAAGAACATCGGTAATCATTTTTCCCTCTCAATTCTGATTAAAGTCATTTCGGGGGTAATTAATCAAGGACATATTTCCAATATGTCGGTAACAGGCCTTTGTTTACAGAGGAAATTCAGTTGACTGTGCTGCTTTTCTGGTAAATAATGACACAAGGAAGAATGTTGGAGTAACTTTTCTGGACTCACTTTATGAATTGCCTCCAAAGTCTATCAGCATCCTGCCAGACTGCAAGACTGAGGCGTTTAACACTGCTAAGGTATGTTTAAAGTTCATAAGTTAGAAGTTAAACCATTTATGAATATAAGCATCTTATATAGGGGAGTTTCATCATTTATAGCTATAAAATAGATTACTTGTGAGAGAAGGAAATACAAATTTGCAGAGAGAGACTCTGATTCGTCTGCTCATATTGAACAGGTAAGCACACAATACAACACCAGAGCAGTGGAAACAAGACAGAAGCTAGATTCAATTGAAAAATGGGAAGAATTTAAGGAAGCTATCCCTACTTTTGAGAAGACTACTTTGAGAGCAAACATGTTGTTGGAGCACATGAATACAACAAAGGATACTTCTGATTATCTTTGGTACACTTTCAGGTACGCCAAAAGGAGTTTATTCCATTAAGCAGAGCTAATGGTGAAATTCGAGTGAAAACCAGTCTTCATATCATAAAATCCTTATTATGTAATGTTTACATATTTTAGGTTTCAAAATGATTTTTCTGATGCCCAATATGTGCTTAATGTGACCTCCACTGCACATGTATTGCATGCCTTTGTAAATGGAGCATCTGTGGGTGAGTTTCATTATCTCCTTAAGCTTTTCCATGACGATTGAAATCGATCTCAAGTATCATCTTGGATCCTGCAACAGGGTAATGACAAATTGTTTTCTTTCATTGTACCATTCTTCTTTAGGTTTCACTCATGGAAGTTATAAGACTAAAACTCCCAACCTAGAGAGGAAAGTTACTTTAAGTACCGGAACAAACCATATCTCCTTGCTTAGTGGAATGGTTGGATTACCGGTAATTGTCGATTATTCTTCCCTAATTTTCCTCATATGTTAATGGGTAACTAAATAGAATTTATTTTTGTCACTTTGATCCTAATAGTTTACCTTTATTTGTGGTATAAAGGATTCAGGAGCATACCTTGAGAGAAGGGTGGCAGGAGTAAGTAGAGTGATCATCAAGGGTGAACATGAAATTAAAGATTTTACCAGCTATTCATGGGGATATCAGGTTATTGTCTTTAATTCCCAGGTTTTAGTTTCAATACCTAAGTTTCAGTTTCCAGCTATAAATGATGTCTGAATATTTTCACCAAGAAAAGACCCAGAAAATTGTATTTAATTTCACAGAATTTAAATTGATGTAATAGCAACTTTCAAGAAGTTAATTTGTCACTATGATCTGTAATATAGTTGGAAAACTGATTGAATATTGATTGATGAAATGTTTTACCCATACAATTGAAAATTTTCCTGGAAGGTTGGGCTGTTAGGTGAGAAATTACAAGTATACACAGATTTTGGATCAAGCAAAATACAATGGAATACCTATGGAAGCTCGACTCATCGACCTCTAACATGGTACAAGGTATGGAAGCTGTAAATTTATTCAACACAATGAACCATAGATAATCCTCATTAATTGCTACTAAATGCTGTTTGTAGACTCTATTTGATGCACCAGTTGGAAAGGAACCTGTGGCATTAAACCTGGAGTCCATGGGTAAGGGTGAAGCCTGGGTGAATGGCCAAAGCATTGGTAGATATTGGGTCTCATTCCTTACCCCAAAGGGACGTCCTTCACAAACATGGTAAAGTGGCATTTCTTGAATAATTTCATGCCCCATATGATTGAAACAGAATTTTATATATTTGTTTAAATAATGTTTGATCTTGAATTTCATTTCTTAAGGTACAATGTACCTCGATCCTTCCTCAAACCAACCAATAACCTACTCGTTATCCTAGAAGAACAAAGTGGATACCCTCTTGGTATTTCTGTAGACACCATATCGATCACAAAAGTGTGTGGTCATGTGTCTGATTCGCATCTCCCACCAGTTATTTCATGGCGAGGACAAAATAAAACAGAAGAAAACCACCACAAGAAGCACCATGGAAGGAGGCCTAAAGTTCAGCTTAGATGTCCTCCAGGAAGGAACATTTCCAGCATCTTGTTTTCAAGCTATGGTAACCCTTCTGGTGATTGTGGAAGTTATGCCATTGGGAGCTGTCATTCATCTAGCTCTTTAGCCATAGTTGAGGAGGTTAGCTTACACAATCTGTTGTTTTTCACTTTTGCTTCGCTTACATATATATATAT